ATTCCCAATCGGAATTGGTCTTGATGTACAACTTCGTGCTGACAGTGAAACATACTTAAAGAATTGTACATCAAGACCAATTCCGATTGGGAATTACTAAAATTTTGGGTGAACAAAATACTAATCACTTCTATTTGAACTAAAATATACAAAAAACAGACAATTAAGGAAAATCGTTCGAATTTCGTTTCCACATTGTAGCATTATGTTAAGAAAAGATTTTAAAAACTGATAAGAACTTTGGAAATAAAGTTTCCTTAGGACAATTAGCAGTTACAATAATGTCATTCACATATATAATTAGGACAATTGTGCTGGTCTTGGTATGTTTGATGAATCAGGTATGGTTAGGATGACTTGAGTGTATCTATTCTTTCAACAACACCATTGAACCTCTCATACCAAGCACGAGGAGATTGTATTAGTCCATAGATAGCCTTCCTCAATCTAGAAAGTAGTCCTTTATATCCTGAAGCTCAAAATCCAGGTAAATGTAGCATGTAGGCTTCTTCCTGCATTTTTTCTTTTTTTTGGGGGGTAGTTTAGTGGTAGGAATCGAACTTGAGATAGCGTTGCTTATGTCAAGTGCTAACCACGCAAGCTCAAGCATGATTCCTATTTCTTCCTGCAATTCCCCATGAAGGAATGCATTCTTGACTTCCAATTGATGCGAGGGCCACCTCAAGTTAGCTATTAGAGACAGATGTACCCGAATGGAATTCAACTAAGACACATGAGCAAATGTTTTTTGGTAGTCTATTCTGTAGGTCTGAATATGCCCCTTGGCAACTAATCTTGCCTTGTATCTGTCAATAGTACCATCAACCTTGTGCTTCACAGTTTAAACCCATAACCATGTGCTTCACAGTTTAAACCCATTTGCAGCCAAACAACTTCTACCCTTCAGAGGGTCTACTAGTTCCCAATTACCATTCTTAAGTAATGACCTCATCACCTCACACATTGCCTCCTTCCATTTGGTATGATCTAAAGCCTCTGTAACACTTGAAGGAATAGAAATATAAAGCAAAGAGGACACAAACTCACTGTAGGATGGAGAACAAGAACTCATAAGAAACAAAATTGCTAATTTGAATGAGCACTGCAATTATTTTCACCTTCCTGTATAGCAATGGGAAGATCTTATTGATCATCCTGAGAATTGATGGAATTTGAATTGATTGTATTTGCATTAGGATTACCTGGATCAGAGGTATGTGACTGGCTTGGAGGCATGTTAGTTATGATGGTCTCAACTTCTTTTTATTTCCCTCAAGTATAAACTTTTAATTCCTTTTTGTCCATCTTCAACATTGTACAACTGCCCCCCCTATTCTCATAGTATATGTAGCCTTTTACAGATTCGGGATCCGACTATGTACGATTGAGACCAAGAAAATGAGTGAAGCAATGAATAACTTTAGGAGGAACACTAAAAGGAGGACGACCAAGATGAAGAAGTTTATAGGCAGATTCGTAGTTTAGATCACGAGAAGGCATCCAATTGGTGAGATAGCAGCAATTTTTTATCAATATTTCTTTGGTACATTCATACTCAAGAGAAGAACACGACTAACTTCCAAGAGGTGTCTATTTTTTCTTTTAGCTGCCCCATTTTGTTGTGGCGTGTATAAGCAAGAATTTTGATGTTCTACGTCATATGTCCAACAACTCTCCATTGCTATACTCTTCACCTTGATTAGACCAAATATCTTAATTTTTAGTATCATACTTAGTGTGGATCATTATGAAAGACCTTGATAACATCTCTGGTCTTCATAAGAGAGATGCATGTACACCAAGAGTGATCATACACAAAAGAAATAAAATAGCAATAAAAAAAATAGAAGTAACAGGAGATGGACCCCATACATCACAATGGGCAATAGCAAAAGGAAAAGTACTTTTAGTATTACTGGGTAAAATATAGTCTTTACAATGTTTTGAAAGGTCACAGACTTCACTTTGAATCTCTGAAACACAAAGCCGGAGATGCCACTGCCATATCCGGTCTTTACTATCATAATGCTAGATAAAGAGCTTGAGGAGTAGTAGACAAGTCAATAATATAGAGACCACTAGCTTCATGACCACTGCCAATCATCTTCCTCGTATCTCGGTCCTAAAAAACATTGGAAGGGAAAAAGGTTACGTTACAATTTAGGCTCTTGGTAACGCTATTGATGGGCATTAAGTTTGTAGAGCTAGGAACATGAAGAACTGAAGACAGAGACAATTGAGGGGAATTCTTTTTCATGCGAAATATTTATAGTTCCTTTTCCAGCAATGGCAAAGAAAATGATCCATGAGCAATTCTAACCTTTTCTCTACCAAAACAAAGAGAGTAAGAAGGAAACAAGGATGACATATCAGTCATATGATCTGAAGCTCTAGAATCAATCATTCAAGATTGTTCAGATGGATAAAGAGCGACATGATTAGTAGAAGCATGGATACTGAGCGGGCAGAGGAAGATGTGGAGGTGGTAGATGGGCCATCTAACTGTTCAAACAACCAATGAAGGCTCTCGATTTCCTCCTTAGGAACTGATGTCTTCTTTTGGGCGTAAGACAAAGGTGGAGTTCTATTGGGTTGTCTTTGATTTGTATTAATGGTTGCTGAATCACTAGTGGATGAAGTATAGTGTGCATTGAATTGCCCAGGATGATTGAATTTGCTGGTCGGCCAACAAGATCCCAGCAATTCTCTTTGTACAATAATGATCACATTTCAGCTTGCTTTTTTATCTCCTTGATTAGGACCCCTTTTCAAAATTTTCGAAGTCAATACGCCTTATTGTTCCTAGGAGGTAATGAGGCCGAGACAAGGGCTGAACGATCTATTGGTTGTGTAGGTAACATGACACCTGTTCTACTTTTCTCACTCTGAATATAGGAATATACTTCAATGAGAGATGGAGTGGTACATTATCCCAATTGAGGATTTGAACTAGCTAACTCAAACTCAGGGTTCAATCCAGCCAAAGACTCCAAAATATGATTTTGTTCCACAAATTTGTTTCTATTCCCATCTTGCTTATATATGGGTTTAAACATCTAATAATGATCCAGTCCCCATAGACTACAAAGTGAGTAGAAATATACTGCTAGAGACCGCTCCCCTGTCGAAGGTGGAATATCTAATGCCTCAATTGGTACACCCTTTACACATTCTTGCTATGGGAGTAAGTGTGGTGTACCGAATCCCAGATCTTCCTCGCAATCCAAAAAAACAGAAAAGCCCAACTAATTGAAGGTAGCATTGAGTGCAACAACTAAGAGATTACAATTAAATTTCCAGTCTTCCACTTCTCATGCGAGGATTTGTCTCTTCAGGTTAAATTATATTTTTCCATTGATATATCCCAGCTTCCCTCTTCCACCAATAAATATTTTAGCAAGCTGTGACCATTCTATTATCCCATCATGGTTACTAGTCGTAATTTGCAGTCTAGGGTTTTCTCCATAGATACCCATGCGAGAGCATCCAGAGTACAAGTGGTGGTAGAGAGTGCTCTGAATTACTAGTATTGGACATATCGACAACCAATAAACGCTAGAAAACACTTGCTAATTAACACAAATAACCACTTGACCGACACCGATTAACATAATCAGCCACTCTACTTCACTCCACAATGAGATCCGAGACCATCCATACAAGCGATCTTGGTAAAATATGAGTCTTGCAACTCGTGATGAGGGTACAACATATTGTAGGAGCCTAGAAACCAATTTTGAATCACCATAACATCCCAAATAGTTCTAAGGTTTTCGGTTCAACATCTCTAACTCGACCAAGATAGAAAGTAACCTTAAAATAGGTTTTGATGCACCATAAAAAATTTTCAGATCCGAGTCCTCAATTCACACAAGCCAGATCCTAGGCTATGGCCACCATTAATATTTAGATTGAATTTTTCAAACCACAAAAAAAAATTTGTGGAAAGAAGGAACTGTAACATTAGGTTTCTTTTCTCAATCCATACCTGATTTCCAGATCTAGGGTTTCTGACCATGCTGCCATTTGAAACCTTCTCATAGTCAGATATCACTATTAGGGTTTCAATCACATAACTTGAAGCTTCCTACTGTGATACTAAGTCAAAAATCATCATCATCATTTTAGCTTTTTCCTAATTAATTGGGGTCGGCTACATGAATCCTGGTTCTCCATTCTGCTCTATTCCCATATCTTTTTGGACTGCTTCCAACCATGTCCTTTTTGGCCTACCCCTTACCCTTTTCAGTCTTTCCACTTGAACTAACTCGCATCTCCTAACAGGTGCTGTACTTGGTCGGCACCACACATGGCCAACCCACCTAAGTCTACTCTCTTTCATTTATTGCCTAAATTCTCTCAAATAGATTCATTTTGAAATCTATCCCTTCTTGTCTTGCCACTCCTCCATGTCAACATCCTCATCTCCGCTATACTCATCCTCATCTCAACATACTAAGTAAAAAATACAGCAAGCTAATGTATGAGATGAAAGAGTATGGGAGGCATCAAGGTCGAGGAAGAGAGAGAAAGTTAGAAAGAGATATGTGGGTGGGTCTGTTTGTGTGTGTGTGAGAGAGAGAGAGAGAAAGAGAGAGAGAGAGAGAGAGAGAGAGAGAGAGAGAGAGAGAGAGAGAGAGAGAGAGAGAGTAGAGAGGAGAAGGAGAGGAAGACGAGTAGTACGTACGTACGTACGTACGTACGTACGTACGTCCGTACTACGTACTACTACTTACTACTTAACTTAA